GAGGTTTATCAGAGGGTTGTCAGATTCCTTGTTCAGTTCTATGGGGTCACAGATAGGGGCGATTAGTTATGCTCGTGCAGTTGAGTGTGCACGCTCCTTGGAGGCGAGGGCAGTATCCGGACATATTCATGAGGGTCCAGTTAAGAGGATTAAGACGGATGGCTCTTTCAGTGGTAGCAGTTCTAGGGCGCGATCGCCGTCTCGTGATCATCGACGATCCGAGTATGGGAGTTCGTTTGGGAGGCAGTTGTCAGATAGTGTTACCCATCGGGTGGTCATGATTCTTCGGGCAGACAGTCAGTGACTTGTTTTAGATGTGGCCAGCAGGGCCATGTGATCCGACATTGCCGCTTTCTCGGGAGGTTGCTAGAGCGACAGGGGCATGTTTCAGATGTGGCCAGCAGGGCCACGTGGCTAGAGATTGTTCACGGGAGCTTGGCGGGATGATGGGAGGTTGCTATCGTTGCGGCCAGCAGGGACATTTGGTCATGGACTGTCCCATTTCAGTGGAGACTGTTTTTGCTGCAGGTAGTGTGCCACGAACTCAGGGACAGATTGATGCAGGGCCATCTGGTGCTGGGGACGAGGGACTGGAGGCGGAGGTCGAGTAGAGGCCACGCGCGAGTGTATGCACTGACTTATTAGGATGGTCAGGCGTCGGATGCGGCGATCACAGGTACGATTACAGTACGATTCTTGGAGACTTTTGCATTATTTGATCTCGGTGTTACCTACTTTTATGTTTCAAAATTCGAGGACGAATTTCCTTTAGGGGGGAAGAATGTAATGACCCGAATTTAGCAATTTAATTAGTTAGGGGTCTAAGTGAGAAAATTGGAATCTGAGGGGGGTGACTTGAAATTTATCCCAGGGAGAATGAAATAAGTTGAGGGACCAAAACTGAATTTTCTGAAAAACCTGTCAGGAGCAGTGTCCAGAGCTGCTTCTGCCGATTTCACCACACCGGGTAATGATTTGAGCGGGGTTTCCACGCCATTTCGTGCGTTTTTGCAGAAGAACCGAACCCCTCAAGTTATTTTCAACTTCGAAGCAAGAGTGAAGGAAATTTTGGGAGCTTGAAGCTTTGTTCGGTTCGTGAGAGCCCGAGCGGACGTTCTGGGTTTTTGGGAGCTATTTTCGCCGTTCTTCTCCGATTGATCGCTGCAGGGAGGTCGCCGGAGTCAACGCCGTGTCTTGGGCTACTTGATCGGCCGAGGTGAGCCACTGTTACTGGCTGTTTTCATTTTTTCTTCCGGACGGCCGGAGTTGCAGGCAACCGGGTATTCAACCCGGTTGCCGGGTGAAAGAGACGGACCCGGAAGGATCCGGGTCCGCGTGTTGGGCCAGCCCAGTGGGTTGGGCGGCGCGGGCTTGAACCGCGGGCCGAGCCCAAAAAAAAAAAAAAAAAAAAAATTAAAGTTGGGCTCGGGCCGGCCCAAGTGAGTGGTTGGGCCGAGCCTTGGGCTGGGCTGGCCCAGGCGGGCTGAGCCGTGGCCCGAGCCGAGCCAAGCCGCTAGTTGAGCCGCGAGCCACGGCTCGAGCCAAGCCGGCTCATCAAATAAAAAAAAAAAAAAAAAAGGGAAAGGGGTTTGACCGAACCGGCCGGGACTTTGACCGGCGGTTCAGTGGCCATTTTGGCTTGAAATTGGGAGGTTGGACCGGTTCTGGTTCGGGGGGATGAGGACTATCAGACCAAGTGGGTTCGGAAAATTTTGGGCGCCCGGTTCGAGGTGAACCGACCTCGGTTTACGTGCCAATGCTTAGGGTTAGGGTTTTTGGCCCGGTTCGGAGCTGGTTTGAGCCATTTTTGGCCAGTTCATAGTGGTTCCTAGGGTTTTTGGGCCTTCTGAATCCGATTTTGTGGGTTTCGTGCGTTTGAGTTGAGTCGGAGTAGTTTTAGATCGGGCTAAGCCGGTTCGTGGGTTTTAGAGACCGGTTCGTTGCGGTTCGAGTTTTGTGGAGGCTGGTTCCGTAGTTTTGAGGTGGTTAAGTAGATTTGTTCTGAATTAGTGAGTCACGTAGGTCCTGGTGACAGGTCGGGTTGCCTCGAGATGCGTGCCAGGGGGCCAGTTTGGGATTTTAGTTCAGTTTGAGGCTATCGAGCCTGTTTCTTGTGCCGGTTTTGGCGTTGGTGATGGTTTTTTTGTGTGATTTCGATTGCAGATTCGCAGGCAGGGGCACACCCGACTACTGAGTCGGGCTAGGTGACTCGGGACTCTCGTTTTGGCTTAGCGTCTGTACTGTGAGTGATGATATCTTCTCTATGCTTGTGTTTTCATACTGTGATTTCTGATATGATGATTTTGTGGGTTGAAACTTGTGTTTTGATTATATGTTACTCGGGTTATGTGCTACGTGTTTGTGAACTGTTGGGGAGTCGTATCGGTATGTGATTTTGGTTTTTGAGACATGGACTGTATATGGCTGTATATCTGTTTGACTTGGATGTGAGGGTGGTGTGCTGTGACGGGATTTGTGGACGGCAGGGCTAGAGTGCGGTGATCCGTAGCGTCCAGTAGGTGAGTCGGTCTGAGTCCGTGAGGGGACGGCAGAGACTCGGCTGGAGTGCGGTGACGTAGCGTCTAGTGTGGGGTAGGCCTGAGTCCAGTGATGTGATTTGATGTTGGCTGATAGCATTCTTGAGTGTATGTTGATATGTTTTACTGATCGCTGTATGCTTAAGGTTTTAGACTTGTGCTATGATATGTATCCTGACATGCATAGATTAGGTATCATCCGTACTCACTGAGTTTCGCGACTCATAGTTTTAAACATTCCAGATTCTTTTGACTGTGCTCACCTCGGTTAGCGTGCTAGCGTGGGAGTCGACGACAGCGAACTTGATGGATGTACGGGCATTTCTCTTTTGTACTTTACCTGATTGATATTCTAGAGTAGACTTCCTTGTACTCTCAGACAGGATCCGGGTGATTTTTGGGTGTTATGTTATTACACTTTGTGTATGTTTTATATATTTTGAGTTCGACTAGTTTGTTGAGGCTTACTGGGGTCGGTGGATCCCAGTGCCGGTCATGGACCCGGGGTTCAGGGCGTGATACTTAAACATAAAAAGTCAAAAGTTATAAACACCCACACTTGCACTTTTTTTAGTTAATGACATACTTGTAAGTAATTCAATGCTTTTCAACAAAATTTACAATCATCCAAAATTTCTATAATCTATAATTTTAATATTTTTTTTAATTATATGTAAAATTTAGTATTTTTTAAATAATAACTCCTGCAATCAAGCTGTAAGTGTCAAAATGATTTACACAGTCATTGAATCAAATATTTTGAACCAAATTAAATATATCAAAAGCAAATCCACTTGCCTAGCTGAACTAATCCACTGGATTTACACTCTAAACATGACATGAAAATAAGTAATTTTAGGAGGGGAGAGGGGAGAGGGAGCTTAATTTCTTTATAGTCAAAATGCCTAATCCAAACACGGACTTGGAGCCGCTAGATTATGATGATGACACGAACAACCCAACAGATTTATTTCCTAATACCTTCCAATTTCCAAATCATTTACACAAGTTATAGGCATCACCTCCACCACTAGAGTTGTAAAATGGGTTAGATCACATTAAATTTGACAAATCTAAATTAAAATTTAATTACACATTTTTGTATTTGAATTTGATCAAAATCTTATAGGATTAATCATTTAATTTTTTAATTTTCCTTTAAGTTTGAATTTATTAATATATAATATATGTAATTATTAATTTAATAAAAAATATTATCAAAATTTAAATTTTTAATTTTTAATCGATCGAATTACTTAATTTCATATCCAATCTATTTATTTTAGATTATAGATACTTATAATCAGATTTAATTCATTAAATATTTTAATTATAATTCAAAATTTAAAATTCAAATTAAATCAATATTAGATTTGAATTAAAATACAATTCATTCACAATCTATGTAGCACAATAGTTAATAATTAACAAAATTTGCAAGGGTGACATGAGGTATACACAAGCACAACATTGGGAAATATAAATTAAATCAACAAAATGCCACTAGAGTATTTTATTATAGTGTTACAATCTATTTAATAATTTAATTAATTTTTAAGAATTACCCATTCTATCCAACATAATTAACAGCATTTATATTCGTTAAATGAGGAGTCAATTAATTGACTTTTCAAGGGTACTCCTAATTAGATGAGTTATACAAAATGGAGTAGATTGCATCCCTTTTAAAATATCTCTCACTTAAAGCAGGTCATTAATTAGGATTACTAATTAAGAATAGCAATTTCAAAACCTTTATTTTATCCAAATTTTATTGGGAAAATAAAAATTAAATAAATATAATATTTCAAAATTCCGTTTAATAATCGGTGAAATCATTTTCTCCTCAATTAACTCCCTCTGTAATTTAAATTTTACTTCCTAAAATAAGAAAATATATAAGATTAGAAAATTATTGTTGAACAAATTCCTGGCAACCCAAATTTATTTAATTCAGTATATACAAAAAAAAAAATTCTATAAATGTGAAAAGAATTGTTTAGAATGGTCAGAATTCAAAATGGTATAATATTAAAAAGTTTTACTCAAATTTAATTTTTCAAAACTTAATTGTGGGATTGACCACAAAAAGGAAAAGTGTATTTGATTTTCCAAATCTCTCCTCTTCTAATCATTAAATTTGCCCCTAGTAAATTTCCTAAAGAAAAAAATCGAAACGGTCCGCCCAAAATGCCCACAGGCGCTGGCAGTCGACATAAAAACGCGCAACCTCAAGCTCTCATCTTCCTCGGTGTCTTCTCTCTACTTCCTCTCTCTTAAAAGTGAGAAGAAGACAAGGGCAACCCCCCCACCATCCTTCGATTTTCTTAACGGATCCTTCCTGCAATTGCAGAAATGTCGCAGCGGAGAAGATTGAGAACACACATATAGAAATACCATAATCCTGTACGATCCTCTGCAATTACACACACATTTTACATTAGCGCATATATATAGTGGTAAATGAGGTGCAAAAAACACCTATCGGACCTAAGCAGCAGCGTCGGCGTCTGCGCCTCTTGCCTCCGGGAACGGCTGTTTGCCCTCATCGCGGCGCAAGCACAAGCAGAGGCTCAGGCTCGAGCGCTACAGGTCCAACAGGACCACGAAGATCGCCGAAAAGCTGAAGCGCATCCACCGCCTCTGGTCTTCCCGCGCTCCGTCTCTCCGTATATCTGCCGCCGGAATTCTGACAACTCGCCTGCAACCACCGAGGACACAGCCTATCCGATCAGCTTTTCTTCAGTACTCCGCAAATAGGCCCTGGTACTGGTGGATTTTTAGCCGGAAATTCGCATATCAAGCAGAAGAGTAGGTTCTCTCTGTTCTCAAATTTGTTCAGGTCTAAATCAAAGAAGACGCATACGGATCCAAGCGTTTCAGGATCGAATTCTCGAAATTCGTGCGCGGCTTCCTCTTCGTCGCCGTCGTGGTTCTCGACTATGATATCCGGCCAGCAGAAAAGACAGTCACGGCTATTTTCGAGCGAGAAATCGAAAGCCGGATTTGGCCGGAGGACGTGCCGGAACAGAGATCGGGGAATGTCGCCGGCTAGGGTTTCAGACTACGGCGATGAGGAGGAATGCTGCGGCGGATCGAGCGGTTACTCGTCGGAGTCGTCCCAGTGCTGGAAGCAGACGCCACAGAGGTACGCGCCGGCAGCGGCCCGGCGGGTCGGAGGACGGCCGAGCCACTCCCGAAACGTGTCCGGATTGACGTTCTGTTTGAGTCCTCTGGTGCGTGCGAGCCCTAATCCGCACTGGAACCAGAAGGGAATGCCGCCGGAGATGGGATTTTCCGGCGAGATCAGGGTACCGGTCAAGCCTCACCTGTCGACGGCGGCGTCGTTCTGCGCAAACCGATCTCGGAAGCTCGCCGATTTCGGGCGGCTCAATCCCAACCACTGATCGCGACGACAGTTGACCGAGATCGCCGTGAGGGTGATTACATCACCACCATGGTAGTACGGTTTTGCCCTGTTACTTTGCCTTTTTTTTCTTTTGAAGTCTTCTGTATACATCCTCTTATTTTAAACAGGTGGGATTATAAGAAAATATTTCTGAATTTTTTCATCTTGTAATTTTGAATTTGACGTTTGATTTGATATGGAAATTACACAAAAATACACTTTGTAGACATTGAACAAAGTGGATGGCCCATCTCCTAAGTTTAAATTTCACTCAAAAGAAAGAGAAAAGTCCACCTAGTGCATTGCTTCAATGTATTCTTAGACAATCAAAAATGAAATTTTTTTTGAGCGATTAAAAATGAGATCATTATATGATCTTATGAGCTAATGCCATTACATATATGCTTAGAGAAAACCCAAAAAGATAACAGGGAGGCTACCTTATTGAGCCTTGATTATAATTGGACTGGGGACCGTAGCTCTCTGTGTTCTTTTTTCTTTTTCTTTTCTTGTGGTTGGTCCTTTTATGAATCTACTTACGAATCCAAGAAACTGTGAACACAATAATCCTTGTGAAACGAGAATTTAAGAATTGGTAAGATTTGGAATGACACCCTTTGACCGTATTTAATATTAGATTTTGATTCATTAAATTAATAATTTTAATATTTATTAAATTAATATTTATATTAATTTTTGATAATAATATTATATTTAATGTTATATTTTGATCTACTGGATTAGTGATTTTAATATTTATTAAATATGAATGTTATGATTTTTAATCTAGTAGATCAAAATTTAAGTATTAAATAAACTCCCTTCTCATATGCCAAATTTGCTCAGTGACAATTGTTATTGATAATTTTTTTGATTCATGTGAATCATTTTATGTTGACCTTACACGTAACAAATACAAATTCGTTACCACGTTTTGGGCTAGTTTCATATTTTTGCTTTATGAAATCGCATATGGTAGCGTACCAGGTGAAGTGGAGCTACGTTTTTGAATTTTGATGACTTGTGTATTACGGAAAAGTCGGATGCCATGCTCGCATGAATGATCTTATCTCCTCGCAAATAATCATATTTCTTCCTTTTTTTTTTTACGCTCACTAATAATCATAACATTTCTAGGACAAATGCAGTATAAAGTCGTATGACTAAACACATTTTACCGCTATATATAAGAGAAAGAAAACTCAGCTT